CAAATATTCCAGCCTCTGTAAATAGTCAATAAGCTCTTCCGTCTTGATTACGTCCTCCATCGTACGTGTTGACCTTTTGTTATAAATAAATTGTTGATAAGACAGTCACTAGAGGAGAGGCTGGTGTATCATTTTTACACATTAACCACCTAAACATCTTTCAACTTGACGTGGTTTTAATTTAATGCTTTAAAGGTTTTATTCTCGATGCAGACAATCCAAAGATCGTTATTTATTCAAGATCATCTCCGAAGACGAAATATCTATTCCGATTGATTCTGGGGAAAAAGAATAAAGGGATTCTACATGCGCTTCCTTTACAAGCTGTTGGATTTTAACGAATAATTCGGTTGTAACGGATAATCCGGAAGGTAGAGATGGGCTAGATGTTGGGTAATGCTTGTACGCATAGACAATTATAGAAAGTCAACAAGTCGAACCGTAAAAAGGTATGACGCTAATGTGAAATGTACTATTACCTTTTCATTCTGAAATGCCGTGTGTGCTCTCAAAAGTGATTGGCAAAGTACGAATCTCACCAAAAATTGACGAAGGAAGTCATCCTGCAGGAAGCGTTTGACTGATTTCTCTAGAACGAGGGAAAATTCATACAGAATATGAAGCCATATTGATGTTTGTTGAAAAAAGACATGTAACGTATATACCTAAATCAGATTTGTTAAAAAGTTCAACCACTTCGGCCTCCATCTCGGTCATAAGCACCAAACATCTCTCCCATGATTCCTTAGCTAGCTCATGTATTCCAGAGATGAACGCGAACGCGAGAAGTGGAGCATGCAAAAACAGTGTGAGCAGACTGCCTATCTGGGATGTATCTGTGTGTAAAGAAATATCTATCAATATACGAGGTCAGGAAATCTTTCCAAATAGGAACCTTAATTACCAGTAATGGAAGGAGGATACTCGGTTGGCGACATGAGACAACAAAATGGTTGGTCAAAAACTCGTGGAAAACTCTATAAGACCAGCAAACATCAATGAAAGCGATCTGAATCCAATACACATTATAACCGTTAGAAATCTTACGGAAAATGCTGTGCTATTTGGACTGTCAACAATCAAGAAAAGCGGCTTTCTCGTGAATGGAACCAAGTCATTCGGATGTAAGCAATTGACCAAGCTATTAGTATCTACTACGTCTGTCTTGTCGAACGTTTTCCGTGAGCTAGTCACAATCCCACCGTTATATCCTGTATCATACTTTGTTTATGAGCATCATTGGATTAACACCAGCCGGGAAGAAATAACAAAATAAAATGCGTACCAATAATGGAATCTTTTTCACTAACTGGACGTTTGATCCCATCGGCGGACAAGTATAATAGCAAGGCAGAATTCTCATTTATTTCCTAGAAAGCGAGCAGAAATAAGTTAGAGTAAATTACTAAATAACATCAAGATGGTAACGTCTTACCTTGAATGCTGTTGCTATATAAACCATCAACTGACTAAAAGTCGGTTTGTACAGAAGATACTTGTGCGGATTAATTCTTCGGGAATTATTTTTATCATGCGCGGCCACTACGTTTGATTGTTCTTCAACAGCATTCTCGTCTTTACATGATACCTTT